AAAAACCCCCCCCCCCCCCTCCGATATATATTCATTTCAATCGAAAAGTAACATTAGGCATTCCAGGAGAGTCGGAGGCGCAGGCTCGCGATAACCAGTAGTCCACGCCCGCCCCCTGCGACGAGGAGGAAGGCAGGTACGCCAGGTCGTTCAAGCGCGGGGGAAGAAGGGACGACGTGAGCGCACCCCCGCGTCGTGACGTCACGGGGGCTGAATCGATAGCACAGCATCGGAAGGACGGCAGACGGTTGGCCGCCTCAGTACGAGGTGGCCTCCGCGACTGTACGGGACATACGTCGGCGGGGCGACGGCCGCAAAACCACGGTCGTAACTACGATCGCGAAGGGGACGCTCGCCCCCTCCGGGTGACTCTGCGCTTCTTTAAGTCCGACCGTCTCTGCATAAAGTGGTGATGAAGTAGTCGCGAGGACCAGCTCGCTCCGCCAAGTCTTTCGTAAGTGCTCCCCCTTTGGAATATAATGCCATGATTCTGAGAAAGAAAATTGTTGCCCCGCCAAGTAGTTGCGCGATTTCGCACGGTGATGTGAAAATGTCTCGAATAGAAGACAAATTCCTCGTAGGGCCGACTGAATTTTCTTCGCGCGACGACAAACTCTGCCTCCTTCTCCTGCAAACGACTAGTTAGATAAGAATTCAACCATTGCGATCTATTTGGGCGGGAAATACGTAAGGGATAGTATACACGGAAGAATAATTTCGAGAAATGGAATGAAAAGTTTTCAAGGATTTTGATGTAGGCAACACACGATATATAAAATACAAACGTATAATTTGGTGAAAATTCGCGAGTGATAGAGTCGGTTAGAAAAAGAAACGATCGCATTTGAAGCAAAGCCGATAAAAGGGTGTCTCGCGGTGGCAGGACACGGTTCGCTCTTTCACAGGTGAAGGACCGGTAGCGCGAGCAAGGAGTGTGGTAAAAAAACGAATAGGGAAGAAGCAGTGAGTTGGGTGAAAATCGATGGCCATCAGCGCCCATGGGCGGCCTCGCGTTTAGAACAAGGAATAGCCCCTCCCAGAAGACCTCGCTCCGGTGGGGTGACTGCTGCCCCCCAAGTCCCAAGCCAGCGTCGTTGTCGGCCGTCCGGAAGAGCCGTCATCAGGACATGCCGCCGGTGTGAGGCTGTCCCCCGCTGTTGCGTGATTGTACCTCGCGGGGATCTCAGAGGTACACATGCACACCCTCGCTGAAAGAGGTCTCTAGCTTTCGCCATCTTTCTGCGCTGCTCGTTCGTAGCGCGCGTCGAGTGAGAACAAAATATTTAATCAAGCTTTTTCAAGTCTAATAATAGGATTTAATGAAAAATCGACCCTCGTAATAAAAGGCGGACGCGCGTGAAAAGATAAGTGGGGAATGTGAACTCAGGTATCCGGGGGATCCTAAAGCGGCGGATTTGCCGGACCTACGTCAACTCGCACCGGTGGACCCCTATTCCCCGAAGATGATCAACATCGCAGGAGTGGTCTCGATCGTTCTGTTCTACCTGCTGATCTTGGGCGTGGGAATATGGGCGGCCAGGAAGAAGGAGGCTGGCAACGACTCCGAGGAGGAGGTGATGCTGGCCGGCCGCTCGATCGGGCTCTTTGTCGGAATATTCACGATGACGGCGACCTGGGTCGGCGGCGGTTACATCAACGGCACCGCCGAAGCGATCTACACGAAAGGCCTGGTATGGTGCCAGGCACCCTTCGGATACGCCCTCAGCCTCGTTTTCGGTGAGAGAAAAGGTCGAATCGTTGTGCAGGACGGCGCGCGAGAAATTACGCTTTTATCTCGCGCTTTCCCTCCCGATGATTCGCAGGTGGTATTTTCTTCGCGAACAAAATGCGACAGCAGGGGTACGTGACAATGTTGGATCCGCTTCAAGACGCGTTCGGCGAGCGGATGGGCGGCCTCCTCTTTCTGCCCGCTCTTTGCGGCGAGGTGTTTTGGGCGGCGGGCATCCTCGCGGCCCTCGGCGCCACGCTGGCGGTCATCATCGACATGGATCAGGGCACCTCCGTCATTCTGAGCGCCTGCATCGCGGTTTTCTACACCCTCTTCGGCGGTCTCTATTCCGTCGCTTACACCGACGTCATTCAGCTCTTTTGCATATTTATCGGTCTGGTAAGATCTCCAAACGGTCGAACAACCTTTCGTATTCGACGCTTCGATAAGCTCCCACCGACCATTCATATCTAGGCTACGATAAATATCACGTTTGCATCGCCAAAGGTGCTTTAATCCGTCGTCCATTAACTGTGATTAAGCGCGATAGAATCTCGGAGACATCCGAAAGATATCATCGCGCGAAACGGATCTTCTATCTGGGAGAAGAGTCTGTTCGCAACTACAATCGGCTGTGCGTGTATAAACTTCTCTCTCTCTCTCTCTCCCGTTAGTGTCGCGCGAAATCCCTTTTGCAATTATTACTCTCTTTTTTTCCTCTTTCTCCGGCTGAAAAAAAAAGAAAATGTTAATTATAAAGGACAACGCTTTTGTCCACAGTGGATGTGTATTCCGTTCGCTTGGACCAATTCGAAGGTACAATCTCTTAGTTCCATGGACGTTGATTGGATCGGCAAAGTGATGCCCGAAGAATATTGGTCTTACGTGGATTATGGTTTACTTTTGATATTCGGCGGCATACCTTGGCAAGTGTACTTTCAACGCGTTCTCTCCTCGAAAACCGCGGCTAGAGCTCAAATATTGAGTTACGTTGCCGCTTTGGGTTGCATCCTCATGGCCATCCCTCCCGTCCTGATCGGAGCGATTGCCAAAGCAACGCGTGAGTATCGCAAATTTTATTACCGGTCCATTTACGATCCAAGTACGATAGCATCTTTGTGTAAAATGTATATTGATGTAAATTCGAGTAAAATGTTCGATGAGAAGAATTGAGCGTTTTCTTCTCATTTTATTTGTTTTTTTTTTTTTAAGAAAAAAAGGGAAAGAAAAAAGAAAATATTGATCGGTCAAATGTATGATCCGGCAGTGGGGAAAAGAGATGTTCAATAAAATGTTTAGATACATTAATAACGAAACGCGCCACTTCGTCCAGCCCCCTCCTTTTCTCCGCTTTGATATCTAGCTCGAGGGTAACGCGTCTCTCACCCCTACCCGAGAGGATCGAATTAGAGCCCAGGTTGTCCATCGTCCCACGCTCCTCGTCGTCGGAGACTACTTGACATTTGGTGGCGCGGCAAAGAGAGAACTGCTGGTATTTACAAGCGGCCGAACGAACAAAGGTGGTGGGTGGGCCGCGCGGGTGGATGATCGAGGGGTGTTCCGGTGCTCCGCAACGTGTACAATAGCGTGGGACTTGGCCATGTGGCGTTGCTTTGAGAGAGGGTCGCGTAATACGACTCGCTCGCTATAATGCGAATGCGCGACTACGTTGCCGGAACAAATTCGGTATGTGTCGCGATGGTATCTGGCTGGCAAAGAGAGTCAGACAAATTACGCGACGATGCCGAGTAAGAGAGTATGCGAAATTGCGGTAAAAAATAGGATTTTTTCACATGTCCCGGAAAGTGTCTATTTTAAATCGAAATCACTCATTCGTCACGAATTGAAATTGACACATATAATATTCATTATTTAATTATTCGTAACATTTGGTCATTGGTCAATTTTATTATTTCTCATGTCAAAATTTATATTAAATTGACATACTTATAATGTCAGACGAGATAACAAACGCTATTTTTACAATAATAAATAAAATTTATTTATTTTTTCTGTTAATCGCGTTCTTTAGATGTCGTTAATGACTGAAATCTTCTCTTAATTATGTGCCATTTCATTGATTCAATCAATATCGTACTTGAAAAATGTGCTTACCACTGATGGGGTATAAAGTATGTCACCAATAATATTCAGTAAAATTAGCATCTTTGTTAATTGGCGCTGGAAGTATAAAACACTTCTTCATGTTGAATATTAATTTGACGCAAGATATATATTGAGATAACGATATATTAGATTAACTAGGCAATTGCGTTGAAAGAAATAATATTTCATTTTTAAGCGGAAAATATTTTAATTATTATATTAAATTACTAAATTGACATAAATATGAAAAGCGTCACGATAATGGTCAGTGTTAACGTATATTAATTTTACATCAGTAATGAAAAGTTTGTAACGCACAAGAAATTTTTCAACGCAAGTTTCTTTCTTTACTCTCTGTATTAACCCAACCCGGTGCTAAAACAGAACGAATACACCTCTTTCTCTCTCTTCCTCAAAATATATCCGATGCATTAATATTTGACGAGAAAAATTCCTAGACACGCGCGCAATCTCCACTTTGACATTACCGCGATTTTTACACGCGATCGATGCCGCGTCCTTCAACATCTCGGGCAAAAGAGTCTTTTTTCCTCGATGAGAAAATAGAAGAGATCCGAAAGGGCAAACGAGCTGTCCGTCGTCCGAAACGTGATTTTGCATGTTGCAGCCTGGAATGAGACAGGATACACCGGCGTTTATCCTTTCACGGAAGCGGAGACTAGCATGATCCTGCCGCTGGTCCTGCAGTACTTGACACCAGATTTTGTTTCCTTTTTCGGGTTGGGTGCGGTATCGGCGGCAGTGATGTCTTCTGCGGATAGCAGCATCCTCTCTGCCAGTTCGATGTTCGCTAGAAACGTTTACAAATTGATCTTCCGTCAGCGGGTGAGTTTCCGTCCTCGCTTAATATCGCGCATCTCTCGACGATGCATAGCGCGTTTCGAGCTTCCTCCAACGAGCTCTCTAAAAGAAGGGAAAAAAGTCCCCTCTCTCTCTGACCATCGTGGGTGGTCCCGCATCTCGTTGCAGGCGTCGGAGATGGAAATCATCTGGGTGATGCGAGCAGGGATCGGCGTGGTCGGCGTGCTAAGCACCGTGATGGCCCTCACGATACCGTCGATTTACGGCCTCTGGTCAATGTGCTCAGATCTGGTCTATGTGATCCTGTTTCCGCAGCTGCTGATGGTGGTGCACTTCAAGGACTACTGCAACACCTACGGCAGTCTGTCGGCGTACATAATCGCCTTTTTGGTGCGCATCAGCGGCGGCGAGCCGATGATGGGCCTGCCCGCGTTGATCCGCTACCCGGGCTACGACGAGAAGTCAGCCACGCAGAGGTTCCCGTTCAGAACAATGGCGATGCTGATGTCGCTCGTGACTCTCGTTGGCGTGTCATGCGGTACACAGTTTGCCTTCCTGACCGGTCGGCTGGCGCCGGGCTACGACGTCTTCAGATGCGTGGTCAATATCCCGGAGGACGTTGAGCGGGTTGGCCCGGACCCTGCCGAAGGGGAGCAAATGGCGGTCCTAGCTGCGGGCGTTGGCAAGCTTTATGGCAGCAAGGACGAATCGAACGGCCGAGTGAATCCTGCGCTCGAGCCGGACTACGACATGGAGCCGGGATGTACGATGATCGGAGCAGCGGATGGTGTTGTCGCTGGCGGAGGAGTGGGTGGAGGCGGCGGCGGCGGCGGCGCCGGAGGACATCTGGTACCCGGCGCACCTCGACAACCACAATCCAGCACCGCGTTCTAACTCCTGGTTCCGTGATCGGATGCTGTGACCAACAATAAGTGCGGCGGTGCGGACTTCTGTATTTCGTTCTATCCTCTCTTTTACCTCCGACATATTCCTCCTCCTCCCGAGCCTTACTCTCTCTTTCTTCGTTTGACGATCGGACTTTTTTGTTCGAGACGGCAGTGTATGCTTCTGACGATGGGCGGCTCGGATATCTATGTAGTGTTTGTGACAATTCTCACAGAGTTTTTCTGCGAGAAATCTCTTTTCTTTTATCGGAAAGAGTTGATACAGATTCTGATGATGACTCTTTCTCCGTTAAAACCCGTTTTCGACAACAACCGACACTTAGCAACTTTCGGAGCTAGCGGTAGCTAGCGGCAATTTAAATCGTCCACCCTTGAGATCGTTTTAATCGATGTTTTAATCGTTCCTAACATTCCCGAACGTCAAAAACTCTCCGTTCCGTTTTTCCTATCTTCACCCGCCCCCTGCAAGCACGGAGCTCCGAGACGAGCCAATGCGGTAGCCTGCGGTAAGTCCGACAGAAAGTTTCTTTCGTACTTTTGTGCGCGTGTGTGTCTATGATTGCGTCTATGTGTGCCTGTTGTCTGCATGTGTATGCGCACGCTACTGGTGCCCGTGTAACGACCTGTACCTGCCCGCGTCTGCTCGCGTTTCCGTCGAACGAGTAAAAGTGGGATAAAATAGATTGAGAAAGAAATCGGGAAAGTATGTGCGAAGCGGGCGACAAGGGGATAAGCGTAGCGTTTCCAAACTGGAAGTCGGAGCTTCGGACATACTCGGGCCGGGCATCCCTACACCGCACCGCCGACTAGGCCTAGTGATTTCCTTGTTTTCTTTTTGAAGAAGTATATATATATATTATATATATATATATATATACACATATAGGCATATATATATACAAAAAGATATTATATATTTAGAGTTTATCACAAAGCTGCTTGAAAGAGTTTCAAAGTACGAGCGATCTGTCTGACCCGGCACAGAAAAAGACAAAAAACAAGTAAGAGAGAGAGAGAGAGAGAGAGAGAGAGAGAAAGTTTCCGCCGAAACTCAATCGACTAACGTTCAGCTTTTTCGTTAGAAATCAATTAGAGAGAGGCCAACGTATTAATAATGTTTATATAGAATTATATATGCGAAGTCATAGGTGCATCGGATATATTTCACCTCGATTTTGCATACATCAAGAGCTGGATGAAAGAGAGTGTCGTTTAAAGTAATCGTCCAAAGTAAAATCAATTGAAATTTTCAATTTTTCTAGATGATGCAAACGACTCATCCTTGTTTGTGTCGGAAAGTCTTTAATAGAATTGAAAGTTGAAGCTTAGCTGTTGATGATTTAGAAGAGTTTTAATATAAATGATGGCGAGAAAAGGTAAGCTAATATGAAACACGTTTGTAAGAACAATAAAAATAGAAACATGGGAGAGAAAAAAGCGCGCTGTGAGAATTATTCTGGGAAAAACGTTATAAGAAATTATTAGTATTGATGTTGAGAGTAAAAAATCTTTTGATCAAGATTATTAATATTTTAATATTTTTCGACGATTCTCTTGAATATTTTTCACTGGACATTCAGTGATATCTTTGATATTGAAATACCGACCGATGAATGTCGATCGCACACACTCGGACGTTCCTTTTCGAGGTCTACTAGGAGAAAAATTTTATCCACCCGGTATGCCATCCTTCCATCGCGCCCCTCGCTGTAATTAGTTTCCGCTATAATTAGTTATCGTACATCGTAATGTCCGTGTCGATGTTAGGAGAAGAAGTAAAACCAAGCTTTTGTACTTGCGATCGATCGTTCTTCCCTCGCTTCGCTCAATTGAACGTACAACTATACACACGCGTCATACAAAAACATACACGCATATACAAATAATGAATATACGAGCGTACAAATGCACGTGTATAGTTAGATGGGCGTCGTTAGAACACCGGATGGCACCGGAGGATGATCTAGTATGGCCGCTCGTCGTACAAATTTGGTTTCTTCATGACTCAGGTGTGACCTCGTAATAGCGAATCTGCGAAACTAAGTAATGCGTGACCAATCTAATCGCTCATCCGTTGCTGATGGTATTATATCATGAGATTCCTTTCGTTTCGAAATTGTAAAGATGTTTATATTTTTACGGTTTACGATAAAAAGTGGTATAAAGGGAAAAAATAAAAACACGATGTTCCTGATTCATCGCATGCCTCGTCAATGAATGGTACGTAAATGACAGTATTGTCATTTATTCGAGCATCGAACGTGAGTCGCGGAATCGCATCGGACAGATCGCTCGTAGACCTAAATCCGTTGTGTTTATTATATAGTATATAATAAAAATGTACGATATAATCAGTTGATGCAGCAAAAGCGAGTAAAATGACGAAGGATGTGAGGGAAACTCGAAGAAAAAGACAGATTTGAACCATACACACACACACACACACACACACACACAATCTCTCTCTCTCTCTCTCTCTCTCTTTATAAATACACGAAAAGACTAAATCCATAGATGTTAATATCGCAGATACGAGTTATCATTGTTAATTTCGAGAGTTGTGGTTCGTTACATGGTTGACGTTTCTATTGCGTCTCTACTTTAAGGATGCTACGCGATAAACGCTTAGAAAAATAATATTACACTTGTTACATATCCGATTGCTCATGTATCGTATTATTGTTTACCGTTAAAAAACGGGAGCGCCGCACTTCGAGACTGACATTGTCGCTGCGCCGATATCAGAGCCGGAAATTGATAATACTCGGAAGGTTTCGCTAAGAATATGATGGAGCAATAAGTCGTTAAAAACGATTACGCCATACGCAATAACTTTGAAACAATAAACTTGAAAAACATTGATATCTATTTAACGAAAAACCGGAAACTTGAGTTTTGTCAATACAGACCGGCACCAAACGTTTTTTTTTTTTATTTCGAAAACATTAAGCGCACTTCCGAGGACTTTGTTCTCGAGTCTCAAAGTGTGGCGCCGCGTAACGATGATGAGACGAGAGATACTCTTATAGATAATTTCATAGATTATAAAATATTTTTCTACTTAGTTCTTAATCACCTGATGAATTGTGATAAGCGTCTGACCTTGTAATTTTACGCTCTCTAATTTTCGTCGCGCGGGACAAACAACATTATTGAAATCATCGTTTGTTTCGCTGCGTGTTTGCGAGCGTCCGCACAATCAATCATTTTATTCTAGCAAAATATGATTTTTATCATTTCGGAGAAAAAAAGCCCGCCACAGAAGGAGGGCTTCGCACGAGAAATGTCAAGTTGAGACGTCCTCCCCGAACGTTTACTTCCCTCCGAAAAAAACTTTTCTCTCTCTCTTTCTCTCTCTCTCTCTCTCTCGCCAATTGTTTCGATGAAATCGAAATATCCTCGACTGAGCGAGAATTCCGATGAACACGTGTAAACTGCTGCGTTAAACCGAGTTGCCACTTCAGGTGAAATTACGAGTGCTCGTTCATGAGTAAAGAAGTAAGGCGAAAATACGGCACAGGAACAAGGAAGTGAGATTCGCTAGAACGAGCGTGGCATCTTCTACGTATTTCCCGTGTCTGTCCGTCAGTCATTGAGCGACGAACTTTCACTCATGATATTAGAAACGATGATCGAGACGCTCGCGGACAAGCGTGCGCTAAAATATTTATTATATTTATCTTATTATATCGCACACACTAGAAATACAAAAGTGCCACAAAGTTATTTTTCTACACTACGCGGCATCCCTTCCATCGTTTATATGGACTTTTAGTTGTCGTCTCGACTAATTTCAAGCACAGGCTTGTATATCGCAAGCATTTACTTTTGATTTTCGTGACCAACTCCTCTTTAAATGAACGGTAGCAATATGTACGATACGAGTGCATTGTCGATACACGGTGAATGCGACGAAAGAGCGCCTTCCCCCTCCCCCACATACATCTGTTAACCGCGAATTTGGGGATTTTATTCGACTTTGAATTTTTACATTCTCTTGACTTTTTCTATTTGTTTCCGTTCTTTACTTTTCGGCAATTATACTCATTGAACAAGATAACCTGTGCATGATTTATCTTTTCTTTTTAATCATCATTGTGACGCACGCGGTTCAATTTGCTTTTCCCGATTTTAATAACTGAGCTTCGAAATGAGATTAATCGGACGTTCGATAGTTCCCATTGTTTGTTTTATACGAATTTGGAGAATGAAGGAGGAGGAGCCGCAAGTTGGAGCGGAAGAAACATGTAAACGTTATAGCTTATGAGAGTAAGCTCTCATAAGACGGCCACATATCATCTACATATCAATCGATCAACGTACGTTGTAATCGCAACGAGAAACCTATACATATCATAAAGTGTGCTCTATTGTATACTAGGTAATTAGTTTAAGATGTATGGAGGAGGAAATGCGTAATAAAATAAGACTATGAAATATGTATATATAGTACCCATTTTTCTAGGGGTCAAAGTGTTCGTTGATCTCTTTTAAATGAGGCGAAAGTTGCGCTGCTTTTTTTCCTCCTCTTCTTTTCGATGCGCGAGTGTTTCGATCGTTTAGCTAAAATCATTTGTTGTTTGCTGCCGGTTAACGTTTTCGGGACATTTCTTTCAAAATTTACGCACAATTGTGATGACAAAATCGACACGTTCAGTGAATCTCCAATTTCGGCCAATTAACAACGGAAAATCGTTTTTTTTTATACAAGAAAAAACAATCTAATCTGAAAGAAGAGAGCACTCACGCGATTATTTTCTTGCCCGCGAAAAAAAAAAGAAAGAAAAGAAGAAGCGGAAAGGAAGAGGAACGAAAGTGTGGATCGATGCAGCGAGCGATAAGACTTAGCGAGAACGATTTCCAACTGTACGAAATGGTCGATTACTTTCCCACTTGGAGACCAACACGAGGGGCGTACTTGATGTTACGCGTCCCAATCGCTACCTAACGTAGAGTATTATTAATAATGTATAAAACGAGCTCCCCACGCGCGGAGGATCAATACCTCCTCCTTATCCCGCCCGGAAGAGTATATCCATATATATGTATCGCAGAAATGTTATTGTATTATATGACATTATACGTGTATAATTGACAAACGAAAGAGATGTTGATTGTAAATGTTACAAATAAACGGTGTACAAAAATATTTTGGGGCCGTTCTTATTACGCGCGTAATCCTCAATGTGTTTCTTTCGTCGAACGCGAGAATTGCAGTTTATTTTTACTCGACTGATCCAACTTTTGTATTTTTCGCAGTAAAGGTATTCCATTCGAAGGATTGAGAATCTTGTAGCTGGGTTGACTGGGTCCACGTAAAAAAAATCGACAAACTACATTAATATAAAGCGTGCGTTATGTTCGAAAGAGACATATGTGTGTATTCGATATCGCTCGACAAACTATCGCGGAGCGAGCGAGCAAACATTTACGGCTCATCCAGTAAATCTTGACTTTCAACAGCCTGGGAAACATTGTTTCGATTTTGCGAGTCAACGCGACGGTCGGAACTTTCGACACGCGCTTTTAGCGGCATGAATAGAAAGAGAGCTCTCAGTTATTCATGCTTTCCCGATATCCGAGCCGACACGTCGAAGAATCGATAAATCGACCGTCCCCCTCGACCGACTAACCCTTACGCTCCGAATAGTCGTTTTCATCCGGGAGGATGTAGCTTCTCCGCGATACGAATTGGACGATAATCGACGGAATAAAGCAAAGAAACCGATCAAACGGAACAAGGAAAAGAATCCTTCTGTATTCTTTCCTCCAAAACTTGCGCGAAACTCTATACAAAGCGACTAATAATCGCAACAACGTTTCTTATTAGCGTATAGCGGCTTTATTATTAGTACAAAAAGCGTCTTTACAAAATAAATAAGTTACAGGCTCCAAATATAGAATCTTCGTTCATTCTCCTTCGTTCTTCTTCGCGCATCTTTCGATGTCAACGGAAGACTCAGTGAACAGACACTTTTCTGGAAGCGCGTAGTAATAATAAGAAAGATGGGAGGCCTCCCCGTTTTTTTGGCTGTTCACGCGTCGAATATTTTCCGTTCGAGAACCCGTCTTTGTGAAACATAGCACGGCGCGACTTCTCTCTTTTCCCTGTCAGATTGGAACGAAGGACACATCCGCGCACGATTATTCCCACAGTCATCAAAGACACATGGTCCCTTCGTCTATCACGTCCAAGATATATCCGTTTATTCTCGGTCTAATCACCATAGACACCGGCAAACGGCCCTTTCCCGCCGTTTTCTCGGAAAAAAAGAAGAAAGTTTCTCAACGACGTCTGATTAATGAAATCGATCGTCGACGTTAGGATGGAATGTGTCTGGTCGTACAATCCGATGGAGCACAGAGATTGTTTCGCTGCCGGGTCTGGATTAATATTGGTATCCTCCGTTGCTGGCGTAATTCTGTCCGCCGCCGCCGCCGCCGCCGTTGCCAAAGCTTGGGGCGCCGTAGCTCGAGGACGGCCTGCCTCCACCTCCGGAGTAACCGCCGGAGCTACGAACGAGGGATATGATGGAGAAAAGTCACATTTAATTGATCCTCATTGTTCCTTACCCGCCGGAATATCCGCCTCCACCTCCCGATGGTGCTCCGTATGTAGAGGACGGCCCACCGCCGCCGGAGTATCCGCCACCGCCGCCGGAGTATCCGCCGCCGCCGGAGTATCCACCGCCGCCGCCGGAGTATCCGCCGCCGCCGCCGGAGTATCCACCACCGCCACCAGGTGCTCCGTAACCGGTCGAGGGTCTGCCATTCGACGGTGCTCCGTAGCTCGACGAGGGAGCTCCTCCACCGGAAGGTGCGCCGTAAGTAGACGAGGGCCTGCCACCTCCGTTCGAAGGTGCTCCGTAAGCCGACGACGGTTTACCGCCAAAGCCGGAAGGCGCACCGTAATTGGGAGACGGACGTCCTACGGGAGGTGTTCCGTAGCTACCGGAGGGTGCACCGCGACCACCTCCGAAACCTCCACCGAAACCTCCACCGCCGCCGCCGCCGGACGGTGCCCCGTAACTTGAGGAAGGAGGCGCGCCGTAGTTGGGGGAAGGTCGACCACCGCCGCCTCCACCTCCTCCTCCTAAGTTGGGTGTACCGTAGCTGGTGGACGGTGGCAAGTAGCTACCGGAGACTGGTGCTGAAAGAATCGGTTTTCCTTGCGTCACACATTTCTCCACTCGAGAATTCCTTTTCGGAGAAACGCGAGAAATCTTCGCCAAAGTCTTCACATGATTTAGAGGAATAAGTCTTCTTTACAAATTATTATCCTTCCGACTCTTACTTTCTCGCGTCGCCCTATTGTCCCGAAGTGAAATTACCGTTAACGAACTACGTTCGTTATTTGCGGTGATTAGCGGCGAGACAGTGATACTTGATCGCGACTCTCTGAAACTCAAGCGGAAGCATTTCAGAAAGTTGGATTTCTCTCCCAGCGTGCTTTTTGTGTCCGCACAAAAATCAAATTCTTCATTAACTTGTCGTTAAAAGAAACGTTTGATTTTCTAACCGATATACATGAAATTGGTGTACACGGCGTGCACCAGCAGAATGCACGAGCGAAAGGAAACCTCGGTGCACCAAATAAAGACGACTTGGTGCGATGGTAGCGTAATCAGACCGTGACGATTTCTTACCGCGAGGCTGCGATTTGAGATACCGTAGAGATTACGATCAGAATTCTCGCTTAGCTAGCGATATTCGCTAGCTTGTTATGTTATCCGGAACGCGTTGATTTATCGTGAGAAGCCGCTTATAATCTCGCGAGAGAAGCAAATGGAACTAAACGGAATCAAATATATATCAAAGTGTGTATATCATATGGTATGGCAAGAGAATGGAAGAATCAAGTACTGCGACAGAGTAAATCGTTAAAGACCGCTTCTTTTTGTTAATCGAACGGCTGTTTTTCACGAAATTCATTGCACGGCGGGAAATGTGGTGTTCACACGCGTCGAAACGTCGCGAAATCGAAACGTCACGAAATCGAAACGTCGCGTTAATAAAGCTTTTTTGGCGCGAGGCGTTTACGAGCGGTGCGCTAGATCGCGATAAAGTCCTGATTTATACATGCCACGCACCGGCCGATAACGCCCCCTATTCAGGCCCGTCTTTTTCCTGCGCCCCGATTTTATTTATTATTATTTTAGGCGAAAGATACTAAGTTAGATGAAGAAAATGTGAAAAATTGTTATCTCGTTGTGCGAAAACAGCGAGCAATCGTCTGTTTTTAATCCATAATATGAATATCGATTGAAAGTACCAGTATGTAAATTACGCTGAAAAAAAGACTTATCTCCGAGACTTACGTTGATTTCTTTTTGCGAAAGAACGGAAGATCGAAATAACGGGAGATTGAAGGTGTGCTGGAAGAGCGTCGCGAGGAATCCGATTGCCGGAATTAAGAATCATATCATTTCGCGACGGTATGATAGAGCGAAAAGAAAAGAGGATATTTTCTTGCCGCTCTCGTTTCGAAATTACGATTCCAATTGAACAAATCGGCGAGGTAAAAGAGATTCGCCGGCTGACTTTCTAGCGGCCGCGTAAAAATCAAACGCATCGCGAGACGATTGTCAAGACGGACTTTCTAGCGAGCCGATACGCCGGCTACAAATTATCGTGTCGACATTAATTATTCTTTTTAATAGGGAAAGTTAGTTAATTTCCGACCTCTTACCCTCCGCGTGGATAGGCCTCAGCAATAAGGCCGTCGCGGCCAGCAGAATTATTGCCAGAGGGGCGGTCGCGGACCTCATAGTTCCGGCGATCCTAATCTCGTGGAAGTTTCTCCAAGTCACATGCACGACCGTCTTTTCGCGTTCCTCGACCGAACGAGTGAGTACCTCTTTCGGATAGGTACGAGCGAAGAATCGAAACGTGGCACGATTTCGTCTAACGTGCTTCAAACAGCGTGCATCTCGCTTATATAGTTGGCCGTCTTTCGGAGAAAGTCCTGAGGAGGATGCTACCGGCCGGGTGAGCGAGGCTCCCGCAGACGTGGGAGGCGGTTAAGGAGCGAACAGGGGATGTCGGAGGTGAGAGGGGAATCGCCCTGCTCACGCGACTGACCCTGGTCGGCCCTTTTTTCAGCGTGCGAGAAACCTGACTGCTACCAGATCTCTGGTGGAGGCTTTCTGATTCCAACGGTCGAGAGATTGTTTTATTCGTCGAGAAAACGGCGGCCGATATTTCAAGAAAATCTCTCTCTAATTTATGAGAGCGTAGTCGTAAAGAATGTGTTACGCTATTAAGCATGATTGAGAGAGCTTTCGACGAAATCCATCGGTAAGCGGCAAACGTACGATCGAAAATCGTTCATTCGTCGCACGTTCGCCTGGATGACCGAATCGGCACGCTGAATATCCGACGAAGCAATCTTCGGCAGCTGATTGCTCCAATTAGTGCGCGAAGAATTCCAACTCTCGCGAACTTCACCGAGTGGTCCCTCTCTCATTGCGATTGCTGAAAGAAGGTCGTTGCTAAATCGACGATTTATTATTGCTCGTGTAGCAATGAAGCGCGAGCATGGCTGAGATGTGTCGAGTATGACAACGTTGCGCCAATACGCTGTCTCGATCGCCGGTTGATCGATCGTTACGACACATGTAGAGACGCAAAAATCTTCGAACACACCCGTGGAACTTTGTACACTCGACGAAGAAAGAATTTATCGGTTTAATTGCTTGACCCATTAGCCTGATTATTATGCCGGGAAATTCGCTTTCCTCTTTCGTGACGATGATGTTCATCATCGCGATCAAAGATACTCCCGCGCTCGCCAAGTTTTTGTTATTTGCATTCGACTAATGACTGCGCGAAATTCGAGAACTCGTGGAAAAAACGCGCGATCGTGACGTAAGTACGCTCTGTCAAGTTACGGCCACCTCCACTCGGCCCGGATCTCTGCTGATCTAGACTCAACTAGTTGGGGAAAAATGCAGAGACGAATTTGCCCGAGTGAGAAAGAAAGTAGGTCGCGCGAATCGAGCGCGTGGCATCGCTGACGACGAAACTACCGAGGAAAATACGAAGGAATGCAAATATCAGGACGCATCATCTTTCGGCGCTTCCTTCAAGTGTTTTGCAATTTGTGACTCGCAAGAGGAAAGCGTCGCCTTTCCGCTGCGCAGTTTTTCCAGTGTTTAGGCATGCTGCAACCAAGCGAGTGCAACAATCGCGCGCGGGGAAGACGCGCTGATGGACGGGTATAGTAGGAAAAGCGAAAGTCACGCCGGCGGGCCTCGATCGCATTGTGAGCGCATCTCTGCCCTAGATAATTAATATCCGTGCTCGAGTAACCGTCATTTTCTGCATCGAGCATTACCTCACTTCTCGCCGTCGAGCTAATTGATTAAAGGGATCGCGTTGTTACGTCGCGCTTCTCGTCGCCAATGACAGACGTTTCGCAATAACGAATTGGCGCGATTGATCGTCCCCCGAATCTCCGAGTATTGTAACGAGTTGTACATCACGAAACGATAATATTCTTCGTATCCAGCAGTAAAATCGAGAGATTTCTACGCGCGTCCTATTCACATGATTATTCAAACTTTTCATTTTTCTCGGCGAGCTATGCACGATGCGTGTAATAATAACCTAACGCATAATTAGATGCAATCCCGATGAACAAAGTGCGCAGTAATATTGTTGAGGAAGTAACAGCAGGCATCTTCCGCGATCCAAATCACTATGATTATTATCTCGACTAAAACCATAAAAGTGTTAAACAATATTTCCGCATCTTGTGAACCGCACTGTGCGCAAATATGCTCGGTGTAAAATCTTTTCACCAAAATTCTCACTTGTCGAGAGGGAAAGTCACACGAATATTCGCGTATTGTGCACAACGTCTCTCCTACACGCATAATAGCTCTTCGTCTTATACACAGTTGAGAGATACCGAGTGACAAATGGCGATCGTTCACTAAAGACCTTCAGTTATCATTCCGCAGCCAATTCATATTTCTCAAGTGTTACGTCGTAATATGTTGTAACGTGTAATTTTTTTCAGCGTCTCTAGCGAGAGATCCTTTCCTTCCGAGCGAGCGCATCGTTCGATACGGCGCGGTGGTAACAAATAACCGACAATACTATATTTAAACAATTCTCTCTCAGAGGATTCATTTTGTTAGCTACAATACTGTACGTTCTTTCCCTTTAGGAAAACATGTTGGCCAAATTTGAATTCTCCGCACACGCTCTTTTTCACCGAGCGCGCGATTCGTGTGCTCAAAGCCAGATCTTTGGGTGCCATTTCGCAACGTTTGGCGTCGCGAGCAATTAATCCGAAAGGTCGGCCGTAATAACCGTCGCGAGGACCCTCGGAACGAAAGCATCATTTATTCAGCTGGATGAGCGAAGCAATTCGAAATAGCTCGATGTACGTCGACCTTCCTCCACGTCCCACTCGAAACGTAGTTGATCCACATAGAAAGCGATTACTTCATCGACCAGGTTCGTTATTGAGCCGCGACAATCGCGAGCGAGCGAACGCAGGAACCGTTTAGCGAGAAATCGTCAAATATATCGTCGCTAATTACGACACGATAGGTCTTTGACGTAAGATAGCGTCGAAAGCGCGAATTCGTTGCACCTGCCGCGCGTGTAGTCGCCGGTGACATTGCGATATTCTCGCGCCGAGAGGAAAGTGGCAATTACGATTGTCCGGTTTCACGGTTACCACGGTCCGTGGGTTCCGTAATCACATTCGATGAGATCGTCGGTCAGAATCTCCTCGCTAACTGACGGAAAGTCAAATACGTACGAATCAAATTTATCATGCAATTTGAAAGGTCGGAGAGCTTTTCGTGCATTGTTTTACAAGAGGGAAAAATGTAGCGGCTGATTATTGGGAAAGAAATTTTCGGCGAGTGATTCGGTTGCATCGTCATTATTTACGAGAACGTCTCGATATTCCGTGTAGGCGAGAACGCAGGAGAAAGGAAATTTCCCCTCGGACGTCATCTTCTTGAACTGGTGCACCTCGCTGTCACGCTCCACAGCTGAATCGATTGAATCGTCGAGCGAGCTACAGGATGACCAGCGAATTCCCGCTTCTTCCCGAGGAAGATCTATTCGATTTTTATCATCATACCTTTCTCTCTAGTCTTACATAACGGAGCTGCTTTTCATTGAGGAATCATCGTGCGATAAAACTGTTTAGCCCTTATTCTCTTGTCCGGGCAAACGTAAAGTGAAGCGAGACAGTGAAAAATTTGCATGTCCAGTTGGATCACCGGATATCTGTGTCGAGAGGAAACACGACGCAATATGTGTGAAAACGTCGGGCTTAAACGTCGTGTGGATGACCATAAAACCCGTGGCGAACGAACGGGCTTGTGCTTTCACTCTTGCGAGCAAACGTTGGTTACTTTCTTTCGTTGGTACAACATGCGTAGGGCTGCTAAAGGCAGAGGTTGCTTGCGCCGCTGCTACAACGGGCGGATAATTTGTCCGAGGCGCGACGGTACGAATGTTCGCGGGGGGATTCTATTTATGCCTTCAAAATCTCACGTAAGCTAAAAGGATCTCCGTGGTGTTACGTTGGAAAGCAGACTTTCGTCAATGACGTGCTCGAGAAGCATCTCGTCTCCGGAGTTTCTCGGTGACCACGTTGCTTTAAGATCCATCCTTGTAAACATGTATATGTTGAAATTATCACATTTCAGGAAAGCGAATCGAGAAACAATCGAGTTTCGCAGTAAAGTCGCGATCATCTTCTCGCGTTAAGTATGATGTAAAATAATATAGAACGATATAAATTGAATGACTGACTCTAAATGACTCTTGAAAATTTCTCTGCTCTTTTATATTTTTCTTTCGTATTCTTCTTTGATGAAATCGCCAGAAGAATCGCGCGACCATTTCTGAGACCCGTGATACTTTCTCCGGTAAAGACGCTGAAGATCGATCAGTGAAAGCATACAATAACAATTGATCACAAAGAGGACAGAACGGAATTATGCCAGAAAAGCCGATGCAATGGCTTCTTCGTGGTCGCTCCTATCCAATGCAGCATATTCAAATCAGCGCGTACAACTCCACCATTGCTTGCCAGTATGGCAGTGTCAATCGAATAATTACCAGATCCTAGCGCCGTAGATTTTATTTATCCTCTCGTGTTAGCTGGCCGATTCGCGTATTAATATCACTCTCTCTCTCTCTCTCTCTCTGAAACAAGTAATCGATCGCGCGTTACATAAGTTATGATCGTCAATTGATACAAGCCTTGGAACGGCAAAGAATGGTATCATCCGGTTGTATGAAAAGAATCATTCGCACCTGTGATAACTAATGATTCCGAATTAATCGGAGTACATCGGAGTACCGTCAATGATAGACGATCTTTATTATTATAATTAATATACCCCAGCGTTATATATGTATTCGCACTTGAGACGATATTTCCTCAAGTACCGTTATTGGCTGAAAGATAACAACTGCGAGATAAAGGACGGTCTACGAAAAAATGGGCTGGTAAAAATAGACGTAAAGGGTAACGCGCGTCTGTGGGAGAGCATTACGTGTGTGAGCGACGCTCAAGTTTCACTCCATGAGACGATATAAATAGCGCGCGACTTTTCATGTATAACCGCGCGTATCCACTGACGTGGAAACTAACGGAAAATATGTGTGGTTTCGCTCCGCGTCCAAGAATAGATACTCGTGATCCACACTTAAATGCAAGAGAGGAAGAGAAATTTGCTGGAAAATGATTTTTCTCCGAAAAATCGTGTAACAAGACGAGATTCCAAAGGAACATATGCCGAAGTACGGGTGCAAAGGGTGCAATTCCAGGTAGAGAAGAGACCGTGGGCGTGGCGTGCGAAAAGGCGTGGTTACGTGCGATCAATAAAATCACCCCTCCTCTCCCCTCCGCCCTTGAAGCACGCGACATCGTCGGCGGGGAAAGACGCGACGTGCCTCCAAAAAGCGAATTTGCCGTGCCGCATCGATCCCTCTGAACCTCCCCCTCACCCTCGCGAACATGAGCGCGCAACCCTCAATGACTCGCGTCGTCACCACCTAGTACCATGGCCTCTGCTCTTACGCGGGAGACTTCATTCGCGCGACGTCCGCACAGCCGGATTTTCCAACAAAGATTCGTCCGGATCGCAATATTTGCGCACGCACGTGCTGAAGTATGGTACCGTGGATCAAAGAAATGATCGCAATGGTTAACGACACGTGCGTTTCAGATTATCACGCGACCATTTCTCACCCAAAAATATACGATCGACAGATTGTTAAAGATCATAAATTCTCTTCTATCTCGCAGGACCATATTTTACGCTCCTTCTTTTCGTCTCTCTTCTTTACGGCATAATCGAGTGTGCGTAAAGTCACGATCCTCGACGATTCATCAGGCGTAATAAAAGTCTTTCGGAAAAGGCGCACATTCAACTGAGTACTTCCGTCCAACAACAATTTCGCGTCGAATCTAAGTAACACAACTAACTTTCTACGATAATACTTCCGATGAAGTATTATCTGCGTCGACTAAAGGAATAGGGCGTAGACGAATCGCTCGAAACGTTAGAACGTGGTATCTTCGATACTTGTGCAACGTACGCTCGGAAAGATTAAAGTTAACGACTCATTTCGATGGCCGCTTTCTCCTATGTGCGGCCAAACAGAGTGCGCTTAATTAGGCGTGTTTGTGCGACAGAAAAATCAGGAGAAGGAGACAAATTGCAACGGCGTGTTCTTTCGATTGATGGAAATGCAAGAGAGGGTTCTCCTCAGTCAGCATGTACGACCGAGAAACCTTAACTGGAACAATGCTGTCCCCCGTTAACCATCCATCGATCCTATTTTGACCGCAGCCTTTCTTCGGACGATCCCCGAGGAATCGCGCGGAGACTTTATTTCCATCTACTCTCTCTTATATCTCTTTATAAGCGCGCGTTCGAAGAGATCGATCGGTGAAACGGGATCGCGTTATTCTTAAGCGAAATGTTGTTTTAAGGCCAAATCGATTGCGCGCAGGCCATGGTCACCTCGATTTACATCGCGCGTACTCTGCGACTTATATCTCAACGATCATCTATGCACCGGCTGTCTTCGGCGACTACGACGCTCGAGTCTTGGACACTTGGCTACGACGTGTAAAGTGTTGTTGTAAAACGAGCGAGTTACGTGGGATAAACGACACCATCGTAGGACAATCGATGGAAATAACCGCATCGTTCACACGTATGCGATTATTTAGAGAATGCCAGAAAATTGGGCACAATTTGTTCTCTCCATTTGCCTTCACACCGACGCTTCTGTCTCTCGCTTTCCCCGGCTGTTGACGCCTCGTTTGTCGCTTGTTTGCATGAGAAGCAGATGTTTACACGGTGCCGACAAACGCACTTACGTAAACTTCATCGAACGCTGCGCGAACGGTGATTCCGTGGAACGATGTAACGCGCTGCATTTTGGCGCCGGCGAGGGGAGCGATTTTTCGGGCGCGTCTGGCCAAAGTTATTTTCGCGCACAAAGTCTCGCGAAGCAGCTAGGAGAACGAGAAAAAACCGCAATGAATGAGACGCAACGGAGTGAAAGAGAGACCGTTCTCCGGAGATTTCAATTCGTGCGTGCGAGCAAGCTCTTCTTTTTTCCGATTATTCGTCTGTTCCCTTTCCTTCTCTCCGGACAGGAAATGTCGCAATAATATTTAATGATAATGGTTCCTTCTGTCATTGGAACACGACGAAGGTTAATATGTACCTGCCACAGACAGCGTCCCCTTCCGGAGGGCAAAAAGAAATTATCGTACCCTCCCCTCATCGAGAGACCGTCCACGGCGGTGCATCCGCCGTCATCCGCAACGGCATACCTAATATAATATTCCAGGCAATTACAATGTTTGCGGATCAAACAGAGGGACTCGTTTCATCCCCGTCCGATGGCCTCCCTTCGGTAACCCCCCCGTCGCGAGCGGCTGGCAGCGAGAGAGGGGTGAATATACGCCGGCGGATTTCTTTTTTTAAACGAGCTCGAAAATGCCTTAACCGAGACCGCTTTTTGTATCGGAGGAAACAAACTCCCGCGTCTGTTGCGCGATTTATATTCTTCTGTGTTGCGACTCGTCTTGCGCGAGAGCCTTACCTCACCCGGTTCCCACACGAGTGTTCGTCACCTCGTGGCTGGCTGCGATCATTGTCGCTGCATCCTCACGCCGTGGCTTTCGTTGCCACTTCGACGAGGGGATCGGTCTCTCTTTGGAGCGAGATACTTGCGTAACTCTTGGAAAAATTTATTCGGACGCGAAGCGACCGAAAAATTGCGAATGTGCTAACGCGTACAATGGCAAAACCGTTGTAAACAGAGAGAGAGAGAGAGCACAATACGTTGCTGAAATCCACTAGGATTTTATTTCCCGCGACTCTCTTTTGTCTCTCTAACGAGATTTCGCGAGAGATTTGGCGCCCTACCCGACGCGTCGGTGAACTCGATCGTACGGAACCGAATTACACGGGCCGTTCGCTTGATATTCCAGTCGGCGACTCTTCCTCATCGGCCACTTTCTTCCGAGCTCTGGGACGTGCCGCGGCTCGCACGCACGTACAAAGCTACACGCATTTTCGTAATTGCGACAGTTTTTCACGATCTCCTTTCTATTCTTTTTTCCTTTCGTACATTTTGGAGATCTCCATATCTTTACTGTTACTCTATTCCTTCCTTCTTATACTCCAATGTGTCTACATTTCAATAATAACAACAGTTTTCACCTACGAGACATTTGTATTCCTCGTTACATCTTTTTTCTATTCTTGAACCTGACTGGATTACAATGCGCTTACGCAACTTTGAACGTGAGTCGTCGCGCATTCACGTACTCGCCGACATTTTCACGCGTCATCCGTATTCGTAAGAGCAGAACGGTATTTTGTAATCAAGGGATAACGCAGAGGGTAATTTCGGGAAAAGGAAATAGAAAAGAACCCACCTGTCCTACGACACGCTGCCATTCTCACGCCACAGAAGCTGGTCGGAAAAGTGGAGCTGTCAGATAAACGTGGCGTCCCCTTCACGCTCTCGGAGAACATTAATAGGACGATCAGCTGGAGATCGTTTGTTTCAGCGTCCGCGCGTAATGAAAGTCGCGCGAAAGTCAACGATAATGGGAAAACGTGACGGGTCCACGCGGTTACAGGTAATGCGAGTAATTTGGATCCTCTCCGTCGGGGCGGTCGTCGCGAATGCACTTTTCTATATGTTATCCCGCTGGGTTGGCTGATCGATATCTAAAAGTATTTTCGCTCCCTGGGCAAGATACGCGATAGTTAACGCATCGTTGTGCGATTAATGCTGGAAATAGTGTCAAACGCAATAAAAACTACAGAGAAAGAAAAATAACCGAAGGAAACCAGCCAGCCGGTTTCGTTTGATTTCTCTCGTTTAGCACAACAACGATATTTCCTTTCTCCGCCATTCCTATCGACAAAATTTCAACCCTTGCGTTTCAAAGCAAGCATTCTTGAATAGCGACGTGATCTTTGCTGCGAATCTGCTATCTGGATTCGACTAATTTTCCGTCTCGATACGATGCGAGAAGTCTCGAGTACAGAAGTCGCTCCTTTCTTATTAATTCGCTTATCCAGTCGCTCAAAGTCGCGCCGCACAACTGGAAACGTCGTTAAATGACGGCCGACGTCAGCCTTAATATAACGTTCGGACGCGACGAAGGGCGGCATAGGTTCAACAGCGCGACATTAGCCGCCGTATAGAAGACGAATTTCCCTTCGTCGATCTTCTTTCGACCCATATCGTTTGATGCTATCTAAACGGCAATTCGCTACTTTGGAATTGTAATCGCGCAATTTCGTGAAACGTTACGAGAACGAAACGAAGAATTTCTGCAAAAGGACGGAAGAAAACCGAATCGGTTTTAGCGCGACTACTTCGTTGTACAATGAAAGAAATCCGACAAAGGGAGAAACTTTGGACTCTATCCGACACGCAAAGCGGCTCGCTCGTGTCCTTCCGGCATAAAGAAAGGTGTACTTCGCGATACTTTTATATACTCGGTGCGCAAGCAGGGTCTCACGCGGCCAGGTGCGCCATGAGGGTGCGATCCGCCGGTTGAAGAACACTGCCGGCCAGCTAGCACGTTCGAGAACCCCTTTGGCATGGAGAGGGCGACCTCACACAGGTGAGGCCGTATCGACCTGACGCCAGAAATACCGCGCAGCATCGACCGTTATACCTGGTCTCTCGTCCTCCTCCTCACCCACCGGAGGATGCGGAGGGTGGAGGGTTTGGGGGCTGACGCACGGTCTCGCCGCCGCCAATCCCTGGATCCTGGCGGCTGCGGCTGCGCCCTTCCGCACCCTCCACGGTGAACCTGCTATCGCCATCGTCGCCGCTGCTGCTGCCGCCGCTACGACGGCAAGAGAGGGCGCCGTACGACCCGGTGGCGGGGAGGACTCTGAGGGCAGACGTTCCAAAGCCACCCCGACGGAGAGACACGCCGAGACGCCCCAGCTATTGGGAGCCCTTCGATCTTGGTAAGTATTTCCCTCTCGTTCCGCAATTCCTTTTACGAAGATTCGAGTTTGTATACTCTATCATGTTGTCGTACACTCGACGATATTGTCTTCTTCGAGGAAAAGGATCGATCGGTGATAATCGTTGCACTACTTCTCGTGTACGAGCGCTCTATCAATAATTTCCCCTTTGTACGATGACACGATTCATCTTCAAGATATCGAAGTTTCGGTGCACAGCTGCGAAACAATCTGTCTTGCCGTCGGAATGACATCCGACGAGAGAAAGGGTCGTTAGTGTACACATGTTCCTACGAGTCACATTTTGTCGCGACACGTTTGCTCGTCGAAAGGACGGATATTTGATAAAATGTAGCATTTGGTTTTCGCAAAGAAAAAAAAAAAAAAAAAAAAAAATCGAGATGAGTGTCCCGACGCTGAGAAAATTCGAGAGTTTTTGAAATTCGCGATTAGGAGAGAATAACGAGGGATCCGCAGACAACAGCGCGCGCAAAATAACACGTGGCTGTCAAATAACTATATCGCGATGCGGCGAGAGAGTAAAAATTACCTTGGGAAGTTACGCACGTGTGTAATGCCCGGTCTTCCTCAAATGCACGCTATAGCACCGGTATGTTATAGATAGACGCAGAAACGCTATATTTATCTTGGCCATTGGTAACGCGCACATAAGATAATAGAAATGTTAGTAAAAATTGTGTCGGCCGCACGGAGAGATATATAGAGTACAAACGTTGCACGGTGAATTGCGCGGGTTAAAAATATGATGATAAATTTCAAGCCGAAGGTCGACGGACTCTGTCCGTCCCACCCGGAATTTTCTCTTCTCACGAAAGAAACCATCGGCTTGCAACGCTCTCGTTGACGTCCCTTAGACGTTCTTCCGCGACAATTTATCTATCGTTGGACCAAATCAATAAAAGGTTAACGCGCAGAAAGCGCGTAAGATAACGTTGTTTCCCGGCAAAAACGAGAATTTCGCCGGTATGCGCGCGTCTCTTTTGGATCGATCGACTTTAACCGATTGGAAAATATCACGCTGTTGCAGATTCGGTTGTGAACCCGGCTGAAAAGGTGGAGGGCCCGGGGACGCGAGGAACCAAGGAGTCGGTGAACGGCTCGAAGGACGAAGACGGATCGGACGTCGCCTCGACTCTGAGCGGCCTGTTAGCCGGTCTTCCAGCCTTGGCGGGCCCCCAACGCCTCGCAAATTCTCTCAGGCAAAAGTTCGCCAGCAACTCCGGTGAGTCGTTTTTGCACGATCGTTGAAAGACGTTGACGCGACAACGACCGTCGGTCGAAAAATTCATGGAACTTGGACGGAAAGTTTCGGAGAGGCAACTTAACTCTTTCCAATCTTTGAGAATCGCAGCGCGACATTGTCCGCTATCGATGATTATTCCAACGGTCATATCATAGCAATGATATCCGAAGCACCCCCTCGCGCTGTAATACGAGCTAAGATGTCGCGGCGCCTTATCGAGGGGGAGCCCTCTTCGACTCGCGGAAAGAGAGAGGCGCGGGAGAAGGCGTATACGCGATCGCGTTGGGGTGGTCGACCAGGCCGGGCTCCCCTGTTCCTTCCCTTGAGCAGCTTTCTCGCGCTCGACGGTGAAGCCGCGCTTCCAATTTCTCTCGCTAACCAACTCGGTGAACTCTGTTGTAGGTTACCCCCGGCCCGGCCTGATGCGCGCCGCCCCAATCGCGACGATCTCTTGGTCACGCGAGGTCGCACGAGGTGACCGCGGTTAGAGTTACTCCCTCTAGACTCAGACTAGCGAGCCGCCATGACGACGATACCGATACTCAACATGGAGTTCGGCGAGCTCAAGGAGATCGTCTGGACGAAGCTGCAGGAGCCGAAGGCGCAGCGCAAGCTGATCCTGGTGATCGTGTCGGTGGCGCTGCTGCTAGACAACATGTTGTACATGGTGATCGTGCCGATCATACCCGACTACCTTCAATACGTCGGCGCGTTCGGGCCTCCCGTCGAGGAGTCGGAGAACATCACCGGGCCGCCCGGTCACCACGGCCAGGACTCCGCCACGGGGGTGCTGTTCGCCTCGAAGGCGATCGTGCAGCTGATGGTGAACCCGTTCTCCGGCGCGCTCATCGACAAGATCGGCTACGACATCCCCATGATGATCGGGCTCTGCATAATGTTCCTGTCGACCAGCGTGTTCGCGTGCGGCAAGAGCTACGGCGTCCTCTTCTTCGCGAGGAGCCTGCAGGGCGTCGGCTCGGCGTTCGCCGACACCGCCGGCCTCGCCATGATCGCCGATCGCTTCACGGAGGAGTCCGAACGCTCCAAGGCCCTCGGCATCGCGCTCGCCTTCATCAGCTTCGGCTGCCTGGTGGCACCGCCGTTCGGCGGCGCCCTTTACCAGTTCGCCGGCAAGGAAGTGCCGTTCCTGATACTGGCCTTCGTCAGCCTCGCCGACGGTTTCATGCTGCTGCTGGTGATGAAGCCGCTGAAGGAGCAGCTGCGCGACAGGAACAGGGAGCAGAAGTCGACGATACCGATCTGGCGGCTGCTGATGGACCCGTACATCGCCGTGTGCGCGGGCGCCCTCATGATGTCGAACGTCGCGCTGGCCTTCCTCGAGCCGACCATCTCCCTCTGGATGGAGGACACGATGACGCACGACAACTGGAAGATCGGTATGATCTGGCTGCCGGCCTTCTTCCCGCACGTGATGGGCGTCATGATCACCGTCAAGATGGCCAAGCAGTATCCGCAGTATCAGTGGCTGATGGCGGCCTGCGGCCTCGCGCTCGAGGGCCTCTGCTGCTTCATCGTGCCCTTCTGCAGCACGTACAAGATGCTGATGATACCGGTCTGCGGCATCTGCTTCGGCATCGCGCTCATCGACACCGCCCTGCTGCCGACGCTCGGCTACCTCGTCGACGTGAGATACGTGTCGGTTTACGGCAGCATCTACGCGATCGCCGACATATCGTACAGCCTGGCGTACGCGGTAGGCCCGATCATAGCCGGCGGCGTCGTCGAGATGATCGGCTTCACCGCCCTCAACGTCGGCATCGCCTTCTCCAACCTCCTCTACGCCCCGGTGCTCTACTATCTCAGGCACATCTACGACTTCAAGCCGTTCCAGGACGAGGCGAACGTGCTGATGCAGGACCCGCCCGACAAGGAGTACCAGACGTACGTGCTGCAGGAGCAGCGGCCGGTCACCGGCGAGATCGGCAACCATTTGAATCAGACGCGTATGGAGACGAACGTCGACCAAGGCAGCTATCAGCCGAGCTACGATCAGGCTGGCTACGGCGTGCAAAGCGCGCCGATCGGCTACAACGAGCAGCCGCCGGTCTACAATCAGGCCGGCTACGGCCAGCCGAGGAATTACGAACAGGAACAGAGGGGCCCGCAGGTTGACGTGAACCCCTTCAGAAGACCGCCCGATACGGAGCAACGGCCAGCAACCGGGGACAGCAACCCTTTCAGGCAAGGAATGTACTAGATGAGAGAGAGAGAGAGAGAGAGACAGGCTTCCACTTATCGGCGGAAAAGCAAGCGCTCGATCGTACTCCGAGTATCGTCTGTCAGGGGATGTGAGAGGCAACGACTTCCAAACAGTCATTCCGGGACCTTCTATCTGAAGTTTCGTGACAAGATTTTGGAATTAAAAATATGTGACGTTGAAACTACAAGACTGAAGTGGAAGAGGGGCGAAAAGGAAGAGAAAGAAGGGGGAAACATCGAAATAAAATTACGTTCGTGTGTGAAAGAGAAAGGATCGCAAAATGCATACACGATCTAGGACACGCGCCGAATGTAAGAGGATCGAAAGAGAGAGAGAGAGAGAGGATTCTCGCGCGACTCTCCTTCGCTCGCTGGCCAAGTTGTTTTTACGGCTTTTCTTCGGGAAATCTATCGCTGGACGGAAGTATCATATCACTAATTAAGATGTCAGGAAGTAAGTTAAGTAGGCAATTGTATAGGGACGAATTGTTGTGACGAAAATGCTCGCAACGGTTGAAGGCTCGCCCTGCACTGGCAAAGTATTCGTTCCATTCGCTCTTTGAGCGACCCTATTATCTTTGATCCTCGAGAATCACCCGAAATATGCGTGTTTCCGAAATCTTACCGTCAATGATATTCGATCGTCACGATAGCAAAACTAAATCAAATCTCTCGCAGATTATTCGATTAAAGTGCATTTCGATCCCTGAACTTTTCTCGATATCTATCTATTCCCCTATCTTTGAAATGAAAAACGATTCCCGTTCTTAAAAGAGACGACATTTTATCGATCGGATACTTTGCCGCAATAATAGAGCAATACCAGTACCAAGGTGCGAGCGCGCCAAAGTAAGCATATCTGTATTTTTATGAGATTACTTTTCCAACCGAAGAGATATCTCGTTTGAATCTCGTCGATTTTTGGTTCATCGTGAAAATCTATCATGCATGTGACATTCCTATATATTATATGTGTATATAATTATACATGCAATTTTTTTGTCACTCGGTTGTAATGCAGCGATTATCGCGACACGTTAGCGCGCTTCGATCGTTTGAGAAAGATGGTACATGCACGCCGATTGGATTTCAACTGACTGACAATTTACAGCACATCTTATACAAATGTGTGTACGATGTGTTGACCTCTCCAACATTATTTGAACATGTGTAACATTTTCGTCCACGAGGGTAGCACGAACGCGCGCGGAGAGACGATCGCAGATCGATGTCGTTCTTTGTATCTGTCGTCGATACTTGCCACGACCGAGCGCACAGCATTCGAACTTTCGTAAAATTCCTACCTACGTACCTCGGTACTAAGAGGCGTCGTGAAAAAAAAAATGACTAAATAATTAATCGATCGATAGCGATAACGTCGATTATCGGCGGCGTAAAGGATTCCTCGATCGTCAGGGAATCCGTTTTGCTCGCGATCGTACCACTCGCCCTCGAGGATCGCCGTCGCGAGTGCTTTGAGTTAACAGTGCCTCAACTTTGCAGTTTTTATCCCTGTGTCGCGAGACTCGTAGTACGAACGTGTATATATACACATATACATCGTCGACTCTCCCGTTGCATCCAAGCAAGTGTGTACCCGACCTAACGTAACTATTAGACACTATCTATTAGACCGTTATACATACGTACCTAAATGTAGGATAGGTATTTTCTTTTATAGCTGGAACAGAGAAAAACGTTCTACCTTCGCGTTGTGGCGTTTCGTTTTTATGAGCTGGCCTCTAAACTTAAGGATTTTATCGTAACGTGGCGACTCGCCGATAATAATCGATTCCGCTGGTGGCTCGTGACCGAATTAACGCGACATCATACTTAACGATTAAGGGATTAACGTGAGTTCCGCCCTTATTTATTTTTTTAGTGATTTACATTTAAGACGATTAGAACGATCGTACGTTCATTATATGTAAATTACGTTTACGCAAGGTGCTTTCGCGCGTTCCTTCTCGATTCAAGACCAGTGAAGTCGTCGACCGAGTCGCGTATCGAGAGTACACGTTCATTATCGGCAAGGCGTTGCATCGGTTGCACTACGGTTATACATACACATATTATACGTATATATCGCATAAACAACTATTTGTAGCTTTTCTTGTCTCTTGTAAATATACGTATGTACACATATATATTACTAATATACATATATATATTATTAATATATACATATATGTATTATTAATATGTATATATATATATATTATACGTGCGCGAGGAGAAAGGAGAAAAATGAGTTTCCCTCGCGCGGAAGCGTCGCGCATACAGGATGATCCACAAATACTGCCACTTCATTCAGCTACGTATCCTGTGTATTTTGTTGCGTAAAACCCTCCGTTCAAATTTCGTCGTCCGTTTGGACTGTGCACCTTGTTTTGCCAAATATTTTCCTTTCGTATAATCTCGACGGCAATCTTGACGTACGTTCCTATTATCTTGTGTTACTTCGTCGATTTAAATAGTGGCAGTTTTGGGACAACCGGTAGATTTTGCCTACTTATACTATATCATTTGTAAATGTTGTGGAAATGCGACGGTATGTGAGCATTCATTTTCGTCGAGGCTATGATGAGTCAGTGCTGGGCGAAATTGTTATTATTCTAACGCTCGTGCAAGCCCCGACAGAACACTCTAAACAAAAAGTGATTCTTCTCGAAAGCGAAATTCTCGTTTGTTTTTTTTACTTTCCTTTCTTTTTTTTTATAAATACACGTTTCTTAAGAACGTTTCCAGATATTTATTTAATTGATACAATGCAGGTGACTCTTTGAAAAATGTACAACAAGCGCGGCAACCAGCAGCGCGATAGTCCTTTTGTTTAAAAGATAATTCATACCATTTCAAAGATACTCCCTTTATTTCAAAAAATCAAATCAAGAGTACCTATGGTTTAACGAGTTGGTGCGAGCGAAATCTTTATATATAAAATTGCACATCCCGTGTATCGAAACCTTGCTCAGCACTGTCGAGAACGACGTTGAGATTTTAAACACGGGCGCTAGTTTCTCAACGATATTTTTCTCACCTAAAAATTGAGTCTAATTCTCAAGTGTTGCGAGACAGAGCAGGGATACCGGTGATCTCCAATTTATTACGAGAAAATATGAAACGCGCGTACACGCACACACACACACATACACGCACATCATAAACAGTGAATGTGGTCGCCGGTATTATATATATTTAATTATATCCGTGCGTAATACATATTATTCGTGCGCGACAAACAGTCGATCGTACACCTTGAAATTATTATAAGCGTAGCGTACAACCTGCAATACATTCGCACTTTGCGCGTACGTACACACACTTACACGCGCATAAGCGCGCGCGCGCGCACGCACGTACGCATGCATGCACACACACACACACACACACACACACACATGTATGTATGTATATTTAATTGATGAAAAACCAAGTAATTCGAAATGCATATATAATTGAAATCCTATGACACACTGTAATGTTGTTGAACCGGTTATTAAAGATGTCATTGTTACCGAAGAATATCACGTGTTGCATTTTATACTACATCGGTATACCTCATTGTGTCGATCGGGTCTGAATGTTTTGACGGATATTTAAGATTGATTGAAGAAATAGCTTCTTCCGGAAATATTTCCATTCGTTTGTTCGACTCCGGACGACATGATGATATCGCGTAGCGTGAGATAAAACGCGCCTGCCGAAGAAAGAGCTGAACCGCACGGAATTCGAGAGCCTGGTGAAAAAGCGAGCGCGGGAAAACGAGCGAGAGAAAAGCGAGCGACGACGAGATATTCATGGAATGTCTGTGGGGTCCTAGTGTCACCCTAACCCTATCAAAGTGTAATAATATTTATATTAGGGCGCAGCTGAAAGAGGGTAGGGCATGCCTGGGGTAAACGAAATGCTCTGTCCCCCTGGTAACAATCGGTTCGCCGATATCGATCGCGCGGCTCCATAACGAGCGGCATCGATTGGTCAAACGAATTACAATTTACAGGCCGCAGCTATGCATGACTTTCCTTACTTTCAGTTTTTTATTAGATTTTTCTTTTTAACAACATCTCTCGGACAGGAAATAGAAAAGTATTAGAAATAACGTTTCTCTCGCTACGATATTCGTATGATCCGTTTATTTTGAGAATTGCACGCGAATAGATACGTCATATAACTCTACGTGTCCCCGATCGTAAGAGATTCCAAATGACGCATCGGTGTGCACTCTTTGAGATTATCGATTCCCTTCTATTTTCGTCTCGTATCCTTGGGACAATTTGCAAAAAGCACTCGTTCTTTCACATATTACTTGGTGAAATTGCGTCGCAAAACTGCTCTTTCGATCGACCTTTAGCGGCGGTAAGTAGCATAGATGCTTCTCGGAGACTTCAACGAAATCTACGAAGACTTCAACGAACCATGACAGATGAGATCCTGAAAGAGAACTTTATAACAATCGAATTACATGAAACTACATGTGAATTTACGAGGAGAAATATCAATCGACCAGCCAGGAGCTCATCCGACGAAAAAATATTATCGAGCGCGGATTTGCTCGCGGGCAGGATTTCGGCTAATAATATCTCAGGAACGACTCGAAAGCGGCAAACGAGCCGGCAAATCGGATTCACGAGATGCTGGACGTTACGCTGGACGGTAACGATTAGGTTTCCGACGCCTCTCCGCGTTGCTGCCCTTTACTCCTTATCCGAGCTCGCGACCCTTCAAGATTGGCCAGGCACGATTAATTGACGGTAGTCCCTTCGAGACTTCTCGACGTGATTCGAAACGACAGCTACGAATTCCAGGAGGGTGCGAAGAAAGGCGCAAGGGTGTACGTACTCGACGTGGATCCGTGTCGGGTGTCAGTACTTTAAGATTAAGTTATTGGCCGGAACTTGTTGAATTTACGTTGTCTCGAGATGTTGAGAGAAGTCGATTTTAATATTGCTACAATTCTTGCTACAACCTTACTTCTTCTTGTAATCTTTAAACGGATCTTTCAAATATATACTTTCATCGAATTATATTTTTTTTATCCGCCCGCTTCGAGTATGTATACGAAGAAAAAAAAAACAAAGATTCCATGAATCGTGTTCGTATATGCGTTACGTACCACACCCATTAATCATGTCGATACACACAGCTGTTATCGTTAATGCTGGCTAATTAACGATCGGTCGAAATTCAGGACGGCAACCTTTGCGGTCCGAACTATATTTGTGGGAAACAACATACATTCGTGTCGCGTCGATACTTTCGAATTGATTTTTGCGCACAGAATTATTGAAGAATTTTATTGAGAAAAATATACTTGTAAAATAGATGTTGCGAGAGAAAGAGAAGACAATTGAATTGATGAAAAATATTTAATACGACTCGTGTATCATTAGCGGAATTTTAAGATTGGACCCAGTGACATTTAATGTTTCTAGGGCGCGATTCATACACGGAGGAAGCTAATTTGGGAGATATAGTGTGGATCTCTATCGAATTAGAACTTTGCCGCGAGAAAAGCCGTGATAATCAAGTCAGTCGATTTCAGTCAGGGGAGGAGAAACGAAAAAGGCGAAAGAAAAGTGTCACGCCGGTGTTGTCGAGGACACGAATAATCCAATTATATCCTCGCGTCGACCGTCAGCGATTTTAGCAAGAATTATTGGCGAGATAACGGGTCGAGCAATAATAACACCTTCGCGAGACCGCTTCGCTCTTTAAAGCGCATACCATGGGTCGCATTGCTCTCGTGTGCGCGGACCTTCTATTATCTCGCCGAGAAATTTCTTTCGGCACGCTGGACCGCTTTTCCCGCGGAAAAAGGAAAGAAATCCAAATAGGGATGCTGCATAACGCGCGTGATTCATCAAGCGCGATCTTCTCCTAGAGAAATCTAGAGAATCGGCGGGGAAGCGCAACTGTGACAAATTGTCGGTCCACAAGAAGGGTGAAAGAAACACGTCGGTTTACATCTGTTTCCGCGCTAATACCTCGTATAACTCTTACGGACGGAGGGGGGAACGTAATCGCGAGAGAGAGGNGGGGGGGGGGGGAAGACTGTTATCTACACCCCAAAGATATATATCTTGGCGCGTTCTCACCCGCGGCGCGCGACATAAATAATACATCTGTTCCTGACCCGCGTCGTGGACCTTCGCGTGACGATCGTTTCGGACAACCTCCCCATGATGTTGGCACCTACTTTCGCGTCAGTCGAAAGAATTCTCTATATTTTCACTCCCTTTCGCACAGATGCATATATTGCTGAAACATTCGAAGTAAAACGCTCGCGACCGACTGATATATCGCGTCCCGTTGGTGAAAACTCGACGAAGGGGTGGTAGCGCGCGCGTCCACTTGGACGGTCCAAGTATCCCCTCGAACGATTCGCGTGCTCTATCTACCGTCCGACCACCCTGTATAGAGACCTGCCGGCGGCGACGGGACGGGTAACAAACGCGGATCGTGTAAGGGGGTTCGAGGAGATAAAATGAGATCGTGTCTCGGGGTTGGCTAGGGGAACGGTTGGAAGATTGAGAAGAAAAGAAATTGGTACATCGCCCGGGAAGAAGGACAGTGCCGCGACCAAATCGCCCGATCATCAACCGCCGTTCGAGCCCGCAAGAATTTTAACCAACATTCTCTACTTCATTGTTACATCGCACCGTTGCGTACACATCCTTGTGGATTGTGTATCATTTCGAAAAGTTACCTTAACCTCCGCTCACTTTACGTAGTCCAAAATCCGAAGAATTATTCGTCGATAATTCATTGTAGTGACAACGATCATTCACGCTAAACGAACGAACGGCTGAAATAACCAGGAAGTGCGCGGCGGTGTGGATCGCTCGGGAAGCGCCAAACGACCGCACTTCCGGTTCGTGCGGCAAAGTGTTTCCTGTGACCTCTGCGCGAGGGGCGGCAACCCCTTCGTGGGCGGAGGGTAAAGGGCAACAATGCCGCGAGCAACCACTCGAGCGCCAGCCTTTGTCTGAAAATCTCACTCAAGCTCTCCTTTCTGCTTCACCCTCCAACCCCTCGCCGCCCTTCGACCCCCTTTGCCCCCTTTAACGGCACGTGTGTGATTGCCGTTCCTTTGAATTTTAAGAAAAAGGCTCCCGTGGGTCTGTAACGAGTCTCGCTTCGATTAAAAGAAGAAAGAAAGCGAGCGCTTGAATCTCAAAGCTATTCGGAATTCCAAATATATGTTGATAAAGTGTCTCTCGAGTGCTTATGTTTGCTAATTACGACCAGGGTGATTACATTAATCGATGCCATAGTTCGAAGTGTATGGCCAGGTGCGCACGAACGGTGCAAAGTCAACGCGGAAAAAGAACGTTGCTTCGATTTGCCGTGCGTTTAAGTAGTAATCAATTGGCAACAGGACGACGCACACGCGAAAATGTTGCGTCTAATCTACTCGCGTCTCTTGAACGATCCGGGCTTTAGAACGTCGGCTCATCGACTCTACGATTTCAAGAATATCGCGTTAATATCGCGTCCGATTTACTACGGTGGCTGCGTAGCGAGCCGACACGATGGTAAGATCATCATATACAAAAATCAAATTTTAACATTGTCTTCTTACATGTCCCAGAAAGTCCGCTCGAAGTTTGAACTTGAAATAACTCATCCGTCGTGTGTTCACAAATTGAAAATGAATCGACACATTTTTTCCCAATACACGATATTCATTATTTTCATTTAAATTCTATTTATAACATATGACATGTCAAACGAATACTGTTATCACAAATTTATTCTTTTTTAATCTCATCCTTAAGGTGTCGTCAATGATTGCGTTCACACGTTGATCTGGTCTAGCAACAATGAGCGAATTCTCGCATCCGATTGGTGCATCCTTTTAGATTTAAAAATATACTCCAATTAAATGCGAGAGCTCATCAACTGCTACCGATTAACTCAATGACTATGCCTGAAATCTTTTTAATTATGTGTCATTCAGCTGACTCAATTAATACTATATTTGAAAAATGTGCTTACCATGGGACCAATTTTGAATACAATACACCCCATTGTTACGATTTAGCTACACCTGTATTTGGTATTGTTTCAAGATGATAATTGTTACCGCGGGTAAAATGTAATTGAAGTTAAGAGTTGCGAAACGAGTTACAAAGTCGATGACGCTAGCCAGGTTGGAAGAGCGCGAGTGATGATTATTTCTCGCACAAGAGTGTATGGACAATAATACGCGTAATATCACGACGGTAAAAAGAAAGGACTACAAAATTTGTTCGTCGTATCATAAGAAAGATACATAATATAGACGTAACTTGTTCAACATGTCAACCAACTCATAATCTATGTTTACTTTGGAATAATATTTTTTGTTTATAATTTGCCCGTTTCTTTTTTTTCTTCTAATATGTATGCTACATTTTTCTCAACTACATGACCTGGCAGTTTAATGTTTTCTTTACATTTCGTCGCAATACGCAGGCACAAGTAGGTTATTCTACCCTTTATATGCCATCTTGTCACTTGAAACCACGTAAAATTGATAACA